CTCTCTCTCCCTCTCTCTCTCGCGCTCCCTCTATCTATCTATCCATCTATCCATCTATCTAGCTATCTAGCTATCTAGCTATCTATCTATCTATCTATCTATCTACCTATCTATCTATCTATCTATCTATCTATCTATCTATATGTGTGTGTATTCTATGTCTATATATATATATATATATATATGTGTGTGTGTGTGTGTATGTGTGTGTGCGTGTGTTTAGTTTACGTTCTTTGTTTTTCTATCTATCTCTCTATATTCTGACCCTTGACAGCCCAGGTGTCGCATCCTCACGCCCTGGACCAAGGCCCAGAACACCTGCGAGAAATGCAGAAAATAGGGGAGCTACATTGGGATTTAGGGTTCAGGGGTTGTTTAGGGGTGCAGGGCTTTCGGGTAATATAGACTTGACTTGATGCCGTAAGATCCGTGTCATCAGCATCCCAAGAGTGCACCCCGAGTTTTCTGAAAGCCCCGCCTTAAGCTGGTTAAGCATGTGCGTACTTTGGAGAATATTTATCTAGTCGAATCGAGTCTAGTCTACGTCTAGTCTGTCTAGTCGCTAACCTAAGCTAGGCTTACTAAATCTAGTCTAATTAATCATTTTATCCTGCCTATCTATCTACGTATCTATCGATCTATCTATCTCTCCATTTATCTACATTTGTTGATGTGTTTTGTTTCCTTGCTGGAACTATGCTTGTATGTCCACAAATGTGATGGCCATGCTCACACCCTTTTACAGGGGGGCGATGATGATGGTGATACTCATGATGATGCCGGTCGTCATGACCCTAAGCCTGAGGAGGGCTCATAGGGCACAGGGTGTGCTTTCGTTGTGCCTGCGGAGGTCTGGGGGGCCTCGGGCTGATGCTACTCCAATGGGCTTGTCGGTTAAGTCCAGCTGTACCAACCACGGCTTCAAGCCAAGTCATCAGCACCCCGGAAAGGATCTTGTAGCTGGACTTGGGTCTCTCCTTGGCAGCTCCAAAGGAACCGAGCACAAAGTACGAGGTGTCAGGTGTATCTCACCCGAAACTGCAGAAGACGCAGAGCCTGGAACGGTGCATGATCACAGAGGAATCTTTGGAAGTGTCAGGCCTTGCTCTGCTCAAGTATCCTAAGCCCGAAAAGGAAATTAATCAAGTAAGCGTAACGAACGGTAATGTATGGCACTGATGATACAAACCTAAGCCTACGATCTGCCTTTTTC